CAAGGGGTTGGGTCTGCCTGTCCCCACTGCCATGGCTGGCACCTCGGGGGTGACATCCCCCAGCCTCGGGGGAGACCTGGACTTGACCACAAGAGTGTTGGGGCCACCTGGCACAGAGGGTCCCCCTGAGCATGGCCATGGCCCCCTGGGTCAGACCTTAGTGGCCCTGGGCAGTGCTGTTGCAGGACAGAGTAGTGTGTCATATACCAGCCCAGGGCCCCTCCATGTCCCCCCATCCCGACAACCTGACCCAACTGGTGACTTTGTACCCATGTCACTGACCCCCCAGCACCTCCCGGGGACCAGCCAGGGTGTTTCAGTGCTCAGCCCCACCGTGGGGACCCCCCTGGCAGAGGTGTTGGGGGGGACGCTGGTGGCGGCGAGCGAGTCCCAGCCCCGGGCTGCACCTGACTCCCCACCAGCCCCTGGGTCCCCCCAGATGCTCACTTGGTCTCAGCCTCCATCTTCTCTGAGGTTGACCACCACTGTGGATGCCACTGTCACCACCACTGCAGCTGCCACCACCAGCCCAGCACTGCTTGGGGACATGGGGACAGTCACACCAGATCCCAGTGCTGCTGTATTGCAGGGGGATGCGACAGACCTGACGTGGGGTCTGCCAACTCCTCTGCCCACCATGATGCCAGCACCTCCCCAGCAGCCCACTGATCCCCCCGGGACTCTGGGCCATCGTGTGGGCCCCGGGTCCCCCCAAGCTGCCGGGGACACAGACCTGGTGCAGCCCTCAGGCAGCCCCAGAGCGTGGCTGGATGGTGACACCCCCCAAGTGACACCTGCACCAGCTGGGGCAGGCAGGGCCCCCCAGGTGTTCATCGTGGAGGATCAGCCACCCCTCCTGAAAGGTGGGTCTGAGGGATTTGGGACCCTCTCCCTGGGCATGGCAGGAGGCAAAGAGATCTGAGGAGCCATCCACTGCGGGGGGGGGGGGGGGGGGGGGGGGGGGTGGCCCCCCAGCCTGGATGTCGCTGACACCGAGTGGCTGAACAGCCTCGGGCACTTCCCTTGTTCCTGCCCCTGCCGGAGCCCCCACCTCAGCTCCGTGCCTCAGTTTCCCCATTTGCCAGCACCCAGCCCTCGCCCGCTGCGCATAGAGCTGTTTTTTTGGGGGGGTGTGGGGGGGTTGCAACCACTCTCCCTGTTGTATCCTCCCCCCCCAGCACCTCCCCAACCCCGGGGGGA